TTCACATTCGTCCGAAACATAGTACGTTATTTGCATGTGAAAACATGAATGAATGTTCTTGTTTATGAAGTAAGCACGATTGTCTTTTGATAGTGTGACGGATTTGAGACAAAACAATCCGCTTTTATCAATGCAATGCCTCTATGTTCATGCCTATCAAGGTCCTTTTTTAAGTTAACTTGATTTTATTCTCCACAAGGTAAATCTCATTTTAAAAAACAATACCTATTAAATGTATAGGTAAACAAATCCAGTGACATTCTACCCTAAGAACAATTAAAGAACTGCTCTATATTGATTTGGGGAAAGTTTACAAGACATCAATGTATAATTATTTAATAAGGATTAGGCACATCAATTATTTTAAGATGTACTTTATTTTATGTTAAGAAGAAAAACGTTTCGCTTTACCGCTCTGTTTAAAATTATTCAGCTATCTGCTGTAGACGTTTAATATCTTATGCACGCTTAACTTATCAATTATAAAATCTTTTTAATTAGTCTGATGATTTTATTGTATGTCTTTGGCACATTTTTTGTTTGTTTTAAACGCAGAAAGTAGCGACGTGGACATTTATGATTGATTCTTAATAATCATATAGGCCTAGTTATAGTTTTTATTATATTATTTGTATTTCTAAGAATCACCCAAAGTTATGTTCATAATTCCTTCCTCACCCCCGATTATATTGCATTAATTTATTCAAATTATCCAGTTTCTTTCCATATTGGCTTCAATATACGTGTATAATGATATTAGACATCTAATTTGTAAATTTATGAGAAGTCCCTGTCTTCTGTCAGCACCTAACCTGGCACGAAATGAAATCTAAACACAATGGACAATTGGCTGTTCAAACGGGATTACCCTCAGTCCATATGCTGCCTAAACCGCTGTGTAGATTCCATTTCTCTGTTATCATACTCGCTACAAAAAAGTATACATTCCATAATGACAAGGAGATTTGTCAAGCAAGCGTAGGTCTAGCAATCCGATGCCGAGACTCCGCCGGGTTGAGCGAGGTGAGAGAACGGGTTAGTAGCCGCGCGAAGTAACCGCTCGTTTATGAGGTCCCGACGACAGATCCCCGACTTAGGCAAGGTGAAGAGGCGAAAACTATGAAAACAGCAAGAATTATACAATTAGTTCGAGGGGGATGAAGGGGAACAAAGGCGTGAACGGGAGAGAGTTAAAAGGGAGTGAATTATCTGGTATCAATTCAAGGAAATACTCGGCATCCATGCACTGAATCTTAATGATTGGAATAATAGATTCATCACTGACGTGTAATACGACTCGGGGGAAGTGAGAGAGCTTTATTAGCGGTCAAATTTGGGATTCAGATATAACAAAAAATAGGTCGCTGATTTCTACTTTCTGAAGTCCATTCATACAGCGAGAGGAGTGCCCATCTCATTCGACTCTATAATGAAAGAAAAGGAGCTCTATTCCAGTTTCTCTGTCTGATCATATCGTGTTTTCATCTTTAAACTTGTTGTTAATAATTATAATAGTCATGCAATAATTTATCTTCTAAATTTATTGTATTATGAATTAAGTTTCTGAAACAAAATTTCTAGAAGTATTAAATTAAAGAATTAGTGATGAGTCAATTGACTTATAATTAATTAGTAAATCATGTGTCGCTCTATCTTAATACAATCATCATTTTTTTTTATTTGCTTCATAGTTTGAATTGAATTTGAAAGTAGGAAATTATTTACAGTCATTACCGCCTTATGAACGGAGAGTAAATGTAGATAAATCGAAGGGCATTAAAACTACTATTATATGCATTGAGTGTACATGCACTTCTAAACCAATCAATACATGTAAAGAGGAGGAGAAAGGAAAATTGAAGGAAGGGGGGGGGGGGTAGACAATGCCATCTATGTACTAAGTATATTTATAGTAAATTTATTTCCAGAGGGGGCACGCAATATTGCATGCATTTAGCCGGTAAAAATCATGTCAATTCCCTTCATTTCCCATCCTTAGCAACGCATGAGGTATATGACCCTCAAGCCGCTTGGCAATAGAATTGTTGAAAAACTCTGCCCCCTACTTTCACTCCCAACTCGCAAAACATACCCCTAAACATTCCCTGTCCAATTTTGCCCCTCTGGAAGTTTGGGAAGAGCACGGGGTCTATCTTTTCTCAGAGTTTGGGTGATGGGTCGGGACGGTATAGCACAATACCCGCCGGTCCTATGCATTGACAGAGAAAACAAGGTTCTAGCTTCACCAATCGATGGGCAACACAGCGAGCAAACATTGTGTAGCTGTGATACCCCCTGGGGACGAGGTTAGCTCTGTCGTCTGCTAGCATTGCCAGCAGACGACATGTCTCAATAATCATGTCAACTAATTTGCGTTCTCTTCATCTTCAATTTGCCCGTTTCTAATTATGTACACCTAAAATGAACAGACTGAATATTATTTGAAATATAGCATCACCTATCGATATTATTAAATTAAATGGATGCGATGAATTCTCTAAGATATGGAACAGTAATAACATAAAATGTTATCAATGTGGTTTTAATGTGGGCGTGCATAGAAGATGGTACATGTTTCTGATTTTCACATTATTCTTAAAATGGAAATATGTTTGTGATGAAATGTTTTAATTAGTACCGTATCGTTCCCTGTGGGGAGGGGTTGACCGGTGTCACCGATTCCACTTTGTATCCCTTTTTTCCCCGGCTCCCGCCAGCTGAGAGCGCTTTCTCCTCACACGTGTGTTTCACACAAAGACAGACAGGTTACTTTGCATCTATACGTCTCATGAATAATAAATGTGCGAACCCTATTATACGCCTTGTCAATCTCGTTCATGCGTAACAAAAGTAACCATGGAAGAACACACTTGCAACATATTCACTTTCACTCACGCGAAACTCTTCTCTTTGGGTTAAATTTTCGGAGGAAATTCTAGAATTAAATGAATTATCGAGATTGGATGGGAGGGTAAACGACTTTAGCAGCGGCTGTATGCTGATAAGAATAGGGGATACCCTATAGTCGATGTCTGGCCCCCGGGTCTGGGGCGGCGCGCGAGCAGCACGCGTCCGTTCGACTCGTGCGTGCCCTAAGAGATGTGTTACTATATGGGACTAATTGAATTGGCAAGTACGATTACTGGGTAATCCTTAATTCAAACATTTTCTCTCATCCGCATCCACAGCCCTTTGGGGGTCCCCAGGCAAACATGGCCGCTGACTCGAAGCCAGGCAATCATTCGTGACAATTCACAGGCCAATCCATGACTTCTGTCAGTTATTAATATTGCCTTAATCGCTTCGTTATATAGACAGCTTAATCATAGGGGCGTGGAGCAGATAGGAGATGGTAGAAGGGTGACAAAGGGGAAAATATGTCACAGAGAACCAGAGAGTGGCAAGAAGGAAACAGAAGAGAGAGAAAGAGAGAGAGAGAGAGAGAGAGAGAGAGAGTGGGAGGGAGAGAGAGGGGTATGGTAGGGGGTGAGTGAACAAAAATGGGGGAGGGGGGTGTTAAATGCAAAGTAAATGTTTTGACTAGAATTCATAATACTATATTTTTATTGGAGAGATGAAGGAAGAGGGCGGAGATTCAGATGGAGAGAGATAGGGAGGGAGAGAGAGAGTGGGGGATGGACAGAGGACTACATCCGGAATGTCATTAAAAGAAAATCAATATTTGTCAATCTGTTTGCAACGATACACATACTTTAGTCGCATTCATCGCTCCATCGAATGTATTTACTCAGCAAACTACATCCATTTAATTCATCGCAATCAGAAAATCACGATAATGTTTTAATGGAATCAAAAACTGAAACTCCCTTTTTCATATTATTTTGTCTCGAGTGTACGACTCGTCTCATTGTGCACGGATGTAGTAGAAACGCATACCATTTTTGATACATGTATGAGGCTACAAAATAATAAAACATGATTACAGCATTTGAAATGCGGGGGAACCTCAAACAATCTCTTATTTCTCATGGTTTCATCCAATCTAAAATAAAAGGATTGTCCTTTATATTATGTTGAGCCAGATGGCACGTTGTGAATGAAAGATTTCGTTTGTATTTTTCATAAATTTGTATAGAATAATGACTCTCCACAGACCTCTACCTAAAGTACATTTATGTTTAAACGTATTTTTTTGTTTTTAAAAAAGAAGATACAATGAGGTGCAAAAACAAGCGTAGAAAGCCGGATAGATATAAACGAATAAACCAATATTCCCAAGAACGATAGTTTTTTTTTTTTAAATATTAATTAAGGTTTGGTATGTTGTGTGTGGTGGATGTTTGAACAAAGAATGAGTAACAAGGAAAAAGATAGAAAGACTGACAGAAAAGAAAAGAGAGAGAAAAAGAAAGAGAGGAGAGAGAGAGAGAGAGAGAGAGAGAGAGAGAGAATTGAGTAGGGTTTGTGAACGCACATATAGCAAATATTGGTTTTATAATACATGTCATATCAGCACTTTTTAAGATAACCTGTTTAATGTAAAATACAATTTCATGATCAATTTCAAGTATCATCTCAAAATTATTTACAGTTTGATAGAAAACTCCAAGAAATGCATATTACCACCAATATAATGCACTGAAGAAAAGAAAATGCAAATGGGAATACTTGAATTCAAAGAAGTATTAATAGAAGGATGAAGTCTGTGCTAAGATATAATAGAGGAATCAATGGCAATATTTTTGTTTAGCTTGTTAATCCTAAGGGAATAATCATTAGAGTTTTCACTAAGTCTCTCGGGAGCCCGAGGTCATTGATTTGGGAGTCGATTCGACGCGGAATGGTACTCATACAGCAGTGAGTCGGAAACGTTCTTCACGTTGATCAAACAGACCACTGCCATTCTTAATGGCGTTCACCTCTCCCCATCTCTCTTCATCTCTCTCTTTCTCTCTCTTTCCCTCCACCCTCGGACAGTCAAAAGGGAGTCGTATTGCCGAGCTCGTCACACTCACTCGCCCATCGCCGTCGCAGCTCGCTCGCTCGTTCGCTCGACGTTCGGTCAGCTGCGCTCCATCTCATAGCATCCTCTCTCTCTCTCCTCCGATTCATCTCATTCTCCTCCTCACACCCCCTCTCACTCTGCTCCATCCAGCTAGTCTCTAATCATGGCTTTCTATGGTATGTTTCCTCCAGAGCAAACCTTCGGCGAGGTGAATCAGCTTGGTGGTGTCTTCGTCAATGGCCGGCCTCTTCCCAACGCCATCCGGCTCCGGATCGTCGAGCTCGCTCAGTTAGGGATTCGACCCTGTGACATCAGTCGCCAGCTCCGAGTGTCCCATGGTTGCGTCTCCAAGATCCTGGCCCGGTATAACGAGACTGGTTCCATCCTTCCAGGAGCCATCGGTGGTTCAAAACCTCGGGTCACTACTCCCAATGTTGTGAAGAAGATCCGTGAATACAAGCAGCGGGATCCAGGCATCTTCGCTTGGGAGATACGGGATAAACTCCTAGCTGAGGGAGTCTGTGATAAGTACAATGTTCCTTCGGTCAGCTCCATCAGCAGGATTCTCAGAAACAAGATTGGGAACAACACTCTGTCTCATCTCCAACACCACCCCTATGATCCTACCAAGGACTCACATCGGTCGTTTTATAACACCGCTCTGTACCCCTACCCCTGTGCCCCTGCACCAGCTGGGACTACGGCATCGAAGGTAGCAGCGGCAGCAGCAGCGGCAGCTAACTCATGTGCGATGAGATCCTGGCCATCAGCTCATACTGTCAATGATATCTTAGGATTCAGGCATCTAGGACCTGGAGACCATACAGGTAAGACGCTTTCTATGAATTATCATAAATTATTTTTATCACTAAACCGATCTATTCAACTGAATTCTGATGTGAAAATTGATATTGATATTGTTAAGTAAAAGAATGAGGCAAATTTATGTATATTTTCATTTATGATAATGTTTTTGTTATTGAGTTCAGCACGCAAGGTTTATATTAGATTTTTTATATTGTGAATGTAACATAATCTTCCCTTTTTTTCACAAGCTTTTTCACAATCTAAAGTTTTTGTTTTCAAAGAAATGTCCAATTCGAAAAAAGGGAATCATTTCAGTCGGCAATGTTTTAAATCCAAGTACTTTTAAATTAGCCCCAGATATCCTTTTTTTCTTCAGTCTAATGTATCTCAGACTTGATTATTTTGTCGCAATTTGAGAGAAGAAAATGAAATAAAAATGAATGTTTCTTTGGTGCCATTTGTGTCATATATTCTCAAGAATGGTATTTGGAGGAAATCGAATTAGTACATTATCAAAATGGAATATAATCAAGTACAGACCGCTGAATAATGTTGCGAATTAAAGTTGTACAGGCACGTGGTATTATGTCATTTAATTAAATGTATTCATTTCTTTGTGAAGATATTTTATTTGTACATTACTTTATACCATTAATATGATAAGTTTAGTGTAAGAATTTAATCGGAAGTTGAGTGGATCGACCCCAGTCGTCACCATCAGAAAGCTTGATTGCTCGGGGTCCTCTACCTCTTACTTTACCTATCCACCATAGCTCTAGGTATTATTAACAAGATTAAGTGCCCCATGTGTTTTTTAGAGGAAAGGGAGAAGGGTCGAGTGATACTCTATGGGTTGAATAGAGGAATGCCAGTAATACCTTTGCACTGACGCATCGCTTTATTACAAGGTGTGAGTATAGAGGGATGAACCACGTGAGTCCACAAAATAGGATGCTGCATTCTCTCCGCGCGCTTCTCTTGTCTTAATGTTTACAATGCATGCTCTTCAGATAGGGATATATTGAGGCGCCGCGTAAGTCGCACCCGATCATAAAATGACACAAAATCCTGCTGAATTTGCTATTTGTCAATTCCGCCTAATTGACACAGAGATTCTGCCTGGAACGGAGTCTCGGCAAATTGGTATCGTGTAGCAACATGGGCTAAGAGCACGAAAATCGATGGATTTGGACAAGTTTTCGTTGAGGGGAAAAGAGACTCAGCTGCGGGGAAGGAGAGCGAGTGCGTGCGCGATGACAGCCCAAAGTCGTAACGTAACTGGCTTCAAAATCAAATCGTATTTGACTAGGGAGACAAATATACTTGCTAGAGACGGAGCTAATGATACCGACTAATGTCTGAAAGCTGACAACTTGTTTGAGCAATAAGTAAGATAGAAGGCCAATGTTGGTGTAAACTTAAGGGTTGTCGCTGAAATCATATGTCTGCTATTTGAGGAGTCACTTTCAATATTGAGAAGACAATGTCAGATAGAGTTGAGATGCCGCTAGAACATTTTGTATAATTTTGATTGTGTAAAATATTATTCTAAAGAAACAACTCTTTTGAATATATTAATTATGTTTTCGAATGGTTGTCATTATAATATACAACATTTTAAGTGAGATTTCATCATTTTTAAGAAGTAGTCAAGGTTTTTTGGTTCATATTTAATTTGATACAATAATTATGCCAGCCTGTAATAATTACAAATAAAGTGTGCAGTCCTGCTCTCTCAGTGTCCACGCGCCATAATTTGTTGATAAATTCATTGAAACGATGGCACATTATCGTTTTATTTTAGGGGATTAAGTCATTCAGAGGCAGGGGTATTGTTTGTAGTGTATGTATTAGTTATAAGGGCTGTACAATTTAATAATATTTCGAGCTAAAATTAACTTTGTAGCCAAAATCTTAATTCTGAGGACGTCTTTTTTCCCTTTTTTATATACGAGTATATATTTCTTTCGAATGATTATTTGGTAAATTTATCGGCAGATATGGTCCGACGACCACCTCCACCCAAAATGTTCTAGAGACGCCTTTAATGAAAGAGGTACTAGAAGTTACCTCCAATGACCCCTTCCACCACTGTCACCACCACCACCACGATACCAAACAACAATAGAGTATACACCAATTAGGGGTGACGTATTCCAAGTCATGTGATATGCGCAGTCGCCTTCTTCCAAACCTTTCCTCTTTTCATCTCTCCCGCTCCATGTTAAGGGTTTGTTGTTGGTCCCCGTCGGGTCTCTTTGATACGATTGGACCTAAGTAGGGACAAGATAAACCAACAGGACCAAACTAAGGGTGCCTGGACCAGCATGATATCGGGAGAGGTTTGTTTGGAATAACACAAAGACTATTATGAGCGTGTTTTCAGTGATCGGAACTGTTTGAAAACTTTGCCTTCCAAGCAATAATAAACGACGATATCCGAGACGTGTATTGATGATGTAAGAAAACGGGATAGACTGAATTAATTGGGTGGCATGTACGTAGCAGAAAGTCTGTCGACTTTCATGGCCTTATACGTATATTGTTCAAAAAACAGATTTTGTTGAAATTAAATGTTAGGCCTATTGTATTTTTAAAATGTATTTAGTTTTGCATAACTATGATTATATTTACATCTGTGTTTGGATGCAGCGGGTGACGAATTGTTTAGTCAAACTTAGTATGGCAAAATTCAAATTAAAATTCAAAACAATAGTTCAATCAATCCAACATTATTTTTGTATAAACATTTTACAAATACCTGTACATACGAAAAGTCCATACACAAACTTAAATAACACAGTCATTTACAATATTATTATACAATGCTCGATATTTGTCAAAAGTAAACTAAACAAAATAATAGAAGTGTAGCAAGTACATGTGTATATTGGCCTCTTTACAAATTCTGAATGAGAAACATTGAATTATAAAAATAAAATATTTAAGTAAAAGGCAGAGGTGCGGAAGGGTCGTGTAATTTTTTTAAATTCATGATGACGAACATTCAGTATTTCCATTTTTATAAACAAATGCATCAAATGAAATAAAAAAACTAACTTATACAATTATCTTGATAAAAAGATTAAGATATTGTTAAATTTTATTTCCTTGAGAGATTTTTATTTTCAAACAAAATGAAAATTATTTTTGTTCAACCTTTTTTAAAAGACACGCGATTAAAATGTTCTAAAATTACCCTTTACTCATTTATGTTGCTTCAATTTTACATTGTATATATTTTTAGGATCATAATACAAATCACAATTATTTTAAACAAGCAGACCTTTACACTAATTTCTCTCTTTCTCTCTCTAGAGGTGATTTAGAACTTTAATATAAATTCGGAGTCTATCTATTAATGATTTTATTCTATTTTTGGTTGATGTAATGCATTAATTTGTACTAATACTTATCAATCAACGTATGTGGGTAGTAACTTATAACTCAAAACGATATTTTTAATTAGTGCATATAAAGTACTTATAAAATCAAATAGCAATGGTACAAAGTTGATCGATGATAAAACTTTGGCGGTAAACACTTGAGATACAGTATATATATATTAAGAATACAAGGAGCATCCAAATAATTTCGTATCCCTCTAAATTAGCATAGTGTTCAAGATTTCGTTAATACAAATTATTACAGAAATGCAAGCTAAATACAAATGCATGTATCATGCATTTGTATTTTATTAGACCGTTTTACTCTGTTTGTTTCGAACTCACGAAATGTTGAAAAGCTACAAATGTTTTTTCGTGTATGATAACCGATATAAACTCTATATCCGACAAAGGATTATAATCTTAGAGGGCCAATATCATTCTAACGCTTCCATCTAGTATATTTTGTTATGACACATTCAACTTTTTTTCTTCAATATTTGATACAAATTGGAAAAATAATAAGAAAATGTATTGTTCGTTGAAAAGTTGCGATAAGGTTACTGTCAACAAAAGAAAGTGTGACGTTCTTTTCGTTTAAAATAAAGGAGAGGAAAGTTTCGTCATCGACACTCTCGCAAGTTGAAAAAAAAAGGGGGAAAAAAAGAGTTTTTCACTCCTTTTTGTGCTTTCAATGCAAACATCCGTCCCTGGCTAACTCTGGCATGCCGTCCATCTTGTATTTCTCTTGATAAACTTCTTTTCGGGCTTCTGCGCTCTCCAAATGCCTAATTTGCAATCAGTCTTGGGCGAAGAAGGAGAAACATAAGCTAGGAGGTATTATTGTGTTTCGTGTCGTTCGTAAGCATGAAATAAGGGATCACATGGAGGTCTCTGCATGCTTGAAGACGGCTCGGGAAGCGGTCAAGAGTGCTAGTGTTTCTGCCGGGAACCGGGGCTGGGTATCGCACTGGTAGCGTCTTTCCTCGCGACGCATCGCGCCTTCTAACCGACGGCCTTACACTTCACTAACTCATGCGTAACAAGTTGACACTTAAAAAGTCTCAGTCGCTTCGAACGAGTGCTGCGTGGCGTGTCGAATGAATGATAGAGAAGACAAAAAAAACTTACAACCGTATACTTTTGAAACATAGTCCCTACATACACGCCAAGAGTGAAAGAATGAGAAGGGAGAAAGTGAAGGGAAAAAAGATCCCTTGCTTGTTTTTTGATAGAATTTCAATTTAAAATTCTTTAGAAAATGCTAAATTTGCGGGGAGGAGATGGCGCGGGCGAACGGTTGTAAACGGACGGGATCGAATCGGTGAGTGAAGGGTGTAATGCGAACCTGCATCTTACCCCTATACTCACTTCAGAAGGTCACCAACAATTAAAAATGTAAACCTATAGCAGTCGACGAACTGACTTCTCCATGCCTAGGCTTGTCTATGCCATGCTATATATAAACAATGAGGTAGAAAGACGAGGGGATCTCAAGAACTGAACTAACAGCAGAAAATGAGCGGTTAGGGAGGTTTTGGAGTAGTAATTCGACGCAGAAAGCACACAGAAGATTGGGTCTCGATTGTTTGCTCTGGAGCAAAAAGGAAATAAGAACTGTGACGTGATTCGCA